GCAGAGACTCGGGAAGGCAAAGTGGTGAGGCCCAAGTCACGCAGCTGGGAAGCACACCTGTGACTTGAACCCTGGTTTGCTGACACTTAGGGGCTCCAGATGGATTCTCAGGGGGGACACGACGGGGCGAAGGCAGGGGCTTCTGGGTGGACAGCGACCCAGCAGTGCTAGGTAGAGGCTGGGGCCTGTCAGGGGCAGCAATACTGGCCCCACCCACGGGGAAGGCAGCCCTCTTTGGCTGGCCACGGGGCAGGCGGAGCCCCCCTTGTCCCTGCGCAGGGCACACCTGCTGGAGGGGCCAAGGGTGCCCCAGGCTTCAGGTTTCTTTCTTTTTAAAGTTTATTTTGAGACAGAGTCTTGTTAAGTTGCTAAATTGCTCAGGTTGTGATCCTCAAATTTATGACTCCCCCGCCTCAGCCTCCCAGGTTGCAGGCGTGCTCCAGGGTGCCCGGCTGCGCTTCGCTCATGGTGTTCCCAGTGCCTGGGTCCTGGGGCCACCTCGCCTCTTCCCCGGGGGGCTCCTGTCTGCTCTCAGGCTCAGTGCCCTCTCTGAGTTTCACCTGTGAGTGCCCCCCTGTGTAACTGGCCACCACTGCCCTGATCACTGTGCCCAAGTTGGACCTCTGCAGTTCCACTCCAGCTGCTCTTGTCCTGTTCTGAGCTCCCAGGAGCAGCCTGACGCCCCCTGACTTTCGCCCTGTTCACACCCCCGTCATGAGCTCTGTCCATTTCCCTCCTGCTTGCACAGCCCCTGCTTTCGCTGTGCACTTCTGGGATGGGTGTGAACAGTGAGGCCCCTGGGCAGGGTGGGCACAGGACCGAGCAGCTGCCTTTTCTTGGGCTCTAGACACTCTGCCTCCTCCTGTCCCTCAGCTCAGGGGCTCCCCTAAACTGGGTAGCCAAGGTCCTGCTCATCTCACCCCACACATGAGCACCCAGGCTCAGAGAGTTTAGGTGACACGCCTGGGCTGATTCAGCCAGAGGTAGGCGGCATGGCTGGTTCATACTGGTCCAACCTGGATCCAAAAGGAGGTTCACTTTGAGAAGCCAGATATGAGATGGGAAAATACAGCGGCTTTAAATTTTAAAAAGACATTGATACGCTAAAAGACACATGGACAGGAATCTCCTGCAGAGTCTTCCTTCTCTTCAGCACCTATCCTGTCGTCCTTACCACTTCCTGAAGACTCTGGAAGTCCTCTTTTGTGAGTGTCGTTAGTTGAGCTGTAGTGGTGGCCTTGATGCCCCAAATTGACTCAAATCATTTACTTTTCATGGCTCTTTTGACTTTGATGAAGAGCCAGGAGTTGCACGGTGCCAGGTCTGGTGAATAAAGTGGACGAGGACACCAAGCGCACGCCTTCATGAGCTGCCCTTCTGCTGGATGGCGCTCGGCAGCGGTAGCCACTGTTTTTGATGCCATCTTATAAGTACACTTATGAAAGAGGACTTCAGAAACTGCTTTAGAAAGTGACAAGAGTGATGGGACAAGCAACTTCAAAGTGAGGGGGGGACATTTTGGGGGAGACTCATGCCAGGATGTTTTATTATGATACATTTTTGAAAAGCTAGACATTCACTTGTACTTTGATCATCCCTTCTACCTCCATGCAAATTGTCCAGGCCCGTTCAGCGCTAACCCTGGGGCTCCTGCTGGGGAGCAGTCACGTATTTGAGAATAACAGAGATACGGAATGATGCTGGTAGTCGGATCTCCTGACATGCTCCCCTCCAAGCCAGCATTGTAGATCTGGGGAAACTGAGGCAGAGTGATGGCCATCTACACAACAGAGTGGTTTCTTGCAAAGTGGCACTGCATGGGGACAGCCAGGGGAGACTGGCATTTTTCTCTGCACTCTGTCCCCAGAGCCAGGGTTCTGTCCTCTGGGGATAGCAACTAGGCAGTTCTAACCCACAGGAAATGTGGGGTGCAGGGCCTCTGAGCCTCTGCCTGACAGCTTGTTAAAGCACTTCTCTCCACCTCAGGACCCTGAGGTTTCAGGGAGCGAGGGGCTGCTTTGGGTTCTTAGCCTGGGGAGGGTGATGTTTCACTTGCAGCTTTTCATAATAATGAACAAAAATAATCAAGTCTCCATTCTGCCCACACCGCCTGTTCTCACATAGCACTGGCCTTGCCCGCTGCCAACAGGCCTGCTGACCCCCTGCCCGCCCCATAGCTGACCGGCGCTCAGGCCACCCAGGTGCCCACTGGCGCCCGGTCCTGCCACCGGGGCAGCCCACTGGCTGCTCCCCACTTCCCCTTTGTCCTTCCTCTTTCCCAACATATTTTTAGAAATCTTTGCACTTGCAGCCCAGATCCAGGACAGCTGGACCCACTTCCCCTTTCCTGGGGGGCGAGGGGACTCTGTCCCAGCTCCCCAGGCAGGAGGCCCCTGCGAGCCTCAGTGTGTGGCCCCTGGGCAGGAAGGGCTGCCTGCCTGCCCCGTCCCCAGCAGCCCACAGGCGCAGCCCGTGTGGCTTCCTCTCCCCAGCCAGGCGAGAGGCCTCTATTTTTAGTTGTGCGGGCTATGGGTTCTCTGCACCTCCACTGGGTTAGGGACCTCACACCATCCTTCTAGCATCCTGCTCCTCAGTGATGTCACAAGCCCATGACAATGGTGGGAGGCAACCCCGTTGGGGGGGACCTTTGCTACCACCTTGTGCTTAGCGAGGATGGGGAAAACTGAGGCCCGCAGCAAGAAGAGGCTGGCACAGAGCTGCACCCAGGCCCCTGCTGTGGCGCACTTGTGCATGAAGATGCATGATGTCACCAAGGAGCTCCAATCAAGACTTCATCCCGGGCAACTGGGGGTGATGGCCCACCTCCTCCAGGAAGTCTCCCCAGATCTCCTCACCCTGAGGGAGAGATGCTTCCTCCCCACCCCAACCTGGGGGTCAGGCTCAGCATCTGTATCCCTCTTTCTCCTGAGCTCCAATCTCCTAGGCTCTACACATTACTTGGAAGGCTATTCATAGAAAGAAAGAAAGAAAGAATGAATGAATCAGGGAGTGGATGAGTGAAAGCACAGTCAACACTGAAGGCCCTGGGTCTCCCTATAGACCCTGCACTGCGGCCCTCTCCCTGGTCAGCACAGCAAGGCAGAGCCCCCTGTGGTCCTGTGGGGCCTGCGTCCTCTTCACTGCCTGGGCCACCCCAGAGTCCTCTCCTTTTGTCTCTGGTACTTGTCCTGCTCGGTCACTTGATCTCAAGCAAGCCAGCCTTCACCTCCAGGTCTCCTCTGTGAGCCTCGGTTTCCCTGCTTGCCACATGGGGACATAGTCCCTGTGATCTCAAGGTGCTAGGATCCCAACGAAGTCACAGCCATGACCGGCAGGCAGGTGGTGGTGGGGCACTTGCCACAGTGTCGCTCGCCTGCTGGGTGCTGGTGTGGGGCCCTGCGCTGGGTTGTGTCTTCTCACCCCTCTTGGTCCCCCAAGCGGCAGTCACTAAGTCACAGGGGATAGGGTGGGTGTGGGAAGCCATCTGACCTCAAATCCAGCAGCAGGAGAGGAGAGGTGGGCTGGGGAGAGCCCTGCCTCTGCCTCCCTGAGAAAGACCTGTCTGACCTCACGGGTCAGAGTCCAGGCTTCCCCCTGGGGGACACCAGGGTGGTCCAGCTGCTCCATGTTAAACTTTGTTTAAAGAAATTTGTGCTTCTGCTGGACCCGGAGGCTAGCCAGCTCCTACCGCCCTTGGCTTTGGGAGCCACAGGCGGATGTTCTGGGAATTGGGGCACAGCCCTTTTCTCGCCCCCTCTCTGCCTTCCAGAGAGCTGCTCTGTAGTCTCAGTGTCCTCTCCCCCAGAGACACCATCCTCATCCCTGCGGGTCACAGTTGGTCCTGGGCTTCTGCTGGCCTGAGGGAGTCTCCCCGCTCCTTAGAGGTCACCATCAGCCCTCAAGGGCCAGAAAGGGGCTTCAGAGCTGGGGCTGTGTACCATGCCGACAGGCACCATTGCCACCAACATCCTCAACTTTGTCACAGCAAGTCACTGCCTCTGCCCTACTCTAGGCCCTCAGCAGTGCTCTTACTTGGAATAGCCTTTCCTAGAACTTGTGACCTCGCAGTCCCTTAGGGCTGGGCTCCAGCTCCCTGGAGCACCTGCTCCCTGCAGCCTCATCCTGCTGTGCAGCTCTTGTCCTGCTTGCCACCTGCTGACACCGCTGTCACAGCACTAGTCATCCACTTATGAGGGCAGGGATGGCGCAAGCCCCAGCCCCTGATGGATCCGACCTGGGCTCAGCAGGGTCCTCACTGGACCCTGTGTTTCCCCTCTATCCCTCCCAGGACCTGAGGCAGTCACAGTGTCCCCGAGACTCGGCCCACGCTTACCTGGGTGGCAGAGGTCCATTCCAAAGCACTGGGGGAGTGGTGGCTGCTCCCTCGTCTGCTGGCCCAGCTGCTGCTCGGGCTGGTGGGGCAGAAATGTGTCACCTCGCTGTGACAGGCCCTCCCTGCCTGCCCCGCCCGCCCGCCCGCCCTGCCGTGTGGGGAGGAAGTAAGGCTTGGTGCTGGGGGCTGCGCAGTTTTCTGACGCTGCTGCCACACTTCCTAAAAGTGCTGAGAGGTTTGAGTAGCAGGGACTTTGCATCTCGGGTGTGGGAGGGGACACAGAGAGGCAGAGACACGCACAGGCTCAGGGTTTGTGCAACCACAGGCGAAGGTGTCAGGGAGGACGCAGCGTCTTCCAGGCAGCATGTACATTTACCTCTCCCCCTGCATAGACCAGAGGACACCCCAAACTGTGGAGACCTGACACTCATATTCTACTCCACCAGCTTTCTTCTGTGAACTCCCACTTGAACAAAAACAAATGAATTCAGTGCTAGGAAGGACTTTGTTTTCCTTCAAAGACACGTTGGCCTTTATGTAGTCTAGGGACAAGTTGGGTAATATGCCCACTTTCCCTTTTCTCCTAGCCTACTGGGAAGCTCACTCTCAAAGCCGAGCTGCATCTACAGCTATTCTATGACAGTATATGGAGTGCAGGGCCAGACTCAGCTGTTTGATTTGCAGCTCTGTCACGCAAGAGAGATGCCATTATAGGACTTCTTGTTGTTGTCCATACTAGGGGTTGAACCCAGGGCCTCTGTGCTGGGCTGTATCTCAAGCCTTTTATTTTTTGAGACATTAGGTCACTAAACTACTCAGGTGGGCCTTCAACCATGACCCTCCTGCCTCAGCCTTCCATACTTCTGGGAGTATAGACCTGCACAACTGCATTGGCTCATTGTGGGGTTTTTGAGGCCAAGGTTTAAAACTCTGGCTCTCGGGCTCCAGCCTGGCTGCCACTGGTCATAGCCCACGGCTCAGGCCAGGGCATGAAAGGCACCTGGAGCTGAGTCTACCTCGAGTGGACCTTGGAGAGTTGTAAAAAATAGTAATTTTTGCTGCTCTTCAAAATTTTATTTTTAATAAAAATTTTAATGGACGTGCAATTATGCATGTTCACTTAGTGTGGTGTAATATTTTGGTGCACAGTGTGGGAGGCCTAAACCAGGGTGATTGGTAAGCATTTGCCATTACGTTTTTGCTGCTGTTGTTTAAATCGCTGACTTTTGGACTGTTTTGTTACACAGCAAAAGCTCACTGATACAAGCAGCACTCAGTACTGTCCATTCACTGAAGAAGAAAGGAAGGCATTTGATGGGGTGTCTCAACTCTGACCATGCTGGCACTGGAGCTGGTGGCCAGGCTGGCCTTGCACTTGAGATTTGGACCCCATGTTCCCTCCCGCTTCTTCTATAACTCAAAGTTATCTTCTGGGAAACTTGCTGGAATGACCTTCATGGTCAACTCGATTTGTCTTCACACAAGGGGGCTTGAAGTGTCACACCCTGTCCTGGGTCATCTCAAACAGAGGAGCATGGAAAGAGGGGGACACTGCAGGCCCAGGGCCGCTTCTTCCGGAAGCCACGCTACCAGGGCCTGCCATGGGGGTTGGACCTGTGGACCTTCACCGGTGACAGTGACTCTCGGGCTTGGCTGCCTGGACAAACAGCAGCCTGTACCGGACCTTGCCCTCCTGCTGTTACCATTTGCTGCTGGAGGGATCAAGCGCACTCAAGCCAGTGGCTCTGCTGTGCTGGGACCCTTGGCAGCCGGGGCCTGGCGTCCTGTGGACGTCCCCACAGGGCCCATGGTGGCTCTGGCACTGGGTCTTTTCAGGTCGTGAGTCACAGCTGTGAGCACAGCCATATGTTGAGTCCCAGGAGCCCTTGTCATGAGACACAGCGCTGGTGGTCCCAGGCCCTGGCCCTCCTGGGGGCAGCCCAGGCCAGGCGCTGGGCGCCCTGTCTGCAGGCCGCTCGAGGCATTCTGTTGTCAGCACTGCCCTGATTGAGTTGACTCAGACGCCACCTCCTCCATGGAGCCTTCCACAATTGCGCCTTACTCCCTCTGCTCCCCCTACCCTGGTCATGCGGAATGGCTTGGGAATGTCTGGCCTGGGAGGGAGGGGTTTTCTTATGGTAGGCAGCAGAGAGTTTGGTGGAGTCAGCTGCAGGGAGCCACTGGGGCCTGGGTTCAAATCCTGCTCCTCACTCGCTGGCTGTGTGATCATCCTCCTCCTTCACTGCCGTCATTTGGCGATTTTGCAAGGTGAATAGTATGATACAGACATCTTTTATGACATTATTTTATAATGAATCACCTAAAGAATCATATACATAGAGGGCAGGAAATCTGTCCACACACTAAAGACCACAGATGCCAGCTGAGGGCCTGGATCCTAAAGTCCTGCATGAGTCCAGCTGAGAGCCCCTAACAATGCCTCCCACGAGTCCGACTGGAGGTCAAGAGCCCATGACAAAGTCTCATGCAGGTCCGCCTCATGGATCTGCACTGGGAAGGCCCACAGGTCAGTGGTGGAACCTAGAAAGTCTGTGCCAACAGGCTGAGGGATCTGCGTGGAGCCAGGAAGCGATGCTCAAGGTGATCATCAGAGCTCCCCCAGAGGTCCTACAGCCACCCTCAGCAACAGCGAGGTCATGAGCTTCTCCAGCAATGAGGAAAGGCGAGTTCCCATCAGGGAAGCCAGAGCTACAGGCTTCTCCAGGAGGCTGAGCAGTGCGCCAGCTTCCCCTCCAGAGCCAGGAAGCGATGCTCAAGGTGAGGACCAGAGCTCCCTGAAAGTGAACCACAGCCAGCCTCAGCTACAGCGAGCTCCCGAGCTCCTCCTCTGATGAGAACAGCCAAGTTCACCAGGAAAGCCAGCCTTACAAGGTCCCCAGGCCAGGGGAACCAGAGGCTGCCAACAGCTGCTCCGAACAGCTTCCCTGGCAGCCTCCTTCCCTCTCCCCCAGTTCTGCCTCCTATGCTGCTGCAGCAACCCTCGGGTGCCCCCCCCCCCCGCAGCTTGATGCTGGTTCAGCTCAGCTGGGTATAACAAGTTGCCCACCAGCTGGCACCCACCACACCCAATGAGTCTTATTTTATCATCAGCAAAATGGACACAGTTGTCAGGGTTGTTTATCTGAAAGAGGAAACCCAAGTGATGATGGTTTAAAGAACTCAGATTTGCTTTTGTCAGACAGGGAAGAAACCTAAAGAAAGCAGCACAGGGCTGCCCTTGCAGCAGCCTGGTCATGTACCCATGTTCCTTCTGCTTCTGTCCTCAAGTCTTCTCATAGCCCAGAGTGGCTGCCTCATCTCCAGTCCTTGTGCCTCAGTTCCAGGTGGGAGAAAGGATGAAGGTGGGCAGAGTCCTCTTGAAAGCTCTTTCTGGCCCGCAGTCAGTGTTTCTCTGAGGTGGGGCTCTGATTCCCTCTGTGTACCAGAGAAGAGTCCCACGTGGGTCATGGGATGGCATACGGCACTTTCCCCATAGGTTGGAAAGTCCTGCAGCAACCACCAGTGCCAATGGAGGAGCTCTCCCTACGTGCCAGCCTTCGCTAGTTCATTTTATTTAATCCCTCCCACAAACTAGTGTGTTATTATAACCCCTGTTTGGAAACGGAGTTCAGAGAGGTTAGTCCCTTCCTAAGGCCACACAGTGAGGAAGAGGCAAAGCTCAGACTCACGCCTTGAGTCATCTAACTTCAGATCTCCACTTGGCACACTTAGGAGGAAAGTCCTTGGCTGGCTCTCAACCGTGCCCACCCCTGTCCCCAAGGAGAGCTGGGAGGGCTCCGCCCCTGAAGAAATCAGGGAGGCACCCTGAGGGTGACACTTGCTGCTGGCTCAGGAGCAGGGGTGCCAGGTGCTGAGAAGATGGGAAACTGAGGCCTGGAGAGGGAGGGGCTTCCCAGAGCGCACCAGGAGCAGAATCCGTTGTGTGTGTGTGTGTGTGTGTGTGTGTGTGTGTGTGTGTGTGTGTGTGGCTGGCTCAGCCCACCCTGAGGGCGGGGCTAGTGTGACATGTGGTGGTGGTGGTGGGGGATCAAACTGCGGTCCTCTGCGCCTGCCTAAACTTGCCTAAGCAGGTGCTTTAGACCGCTGAGCTATCTCGCTGGCCCCAGAATCTGCTCTTGAACCCGTATTTGGCTGCATCATCTAAGCTGTCTTCATCACTCACTCACTCACTCACTCACTCGGCTGGCGATGTTCTCAGTGGCCTGCTGGGTCAAGCACTGTCTCAGCATGGGCACAAGACAGAACCTTGTCCCCCTGCACATGTGGCTGCGACTCTAGCGTCAGGCAGCGGTGGAGGTCCAGGACTGTGGTTCACACTGCGGTGCTCAAGCTCATGTTGAGGACTCGCCCGCTGCACCAGGCTCCTCCCAGCCAAGCTCCCTGGCAAAGGTGACTTCTGGGATGTCCATCAAGAGTGGAGGGTTAAACAGTGCTGTGACCGGAAGACGGGTCAGCGTGAGTCATTAAAGTGAATAATGACCACGGAGAATTCACACACCATCTCCTTTCGGGGTGTAAGTAAATGTGACTCAGACTGGTTTAAACTGGAACTTACTGGCTCAGTCTTGCAGCACCAGGGATGGCTTTGGACTTGAGAATACATACGAGACTCAAATGCCGCCCCGTTCCCGCTCCCTCTCTTTCCCTATCTCCCTCCTCTCTGTCTCTCTCTCACCCCTTTCTGCACTTACATCAAGTCACCTTGGACTTTAGAGACAGGCACTACCTGCTCCCCCAGAAGAAAAAACTCAGAAACAGTCTGATTGGCCAACTTCTGGTCACGTGTCCATCTCTGGGCCAATCCTTGCAGCTGCCTAGGAAGAACACTGTGATTGGTCAGGTCCCTGGTCACATGCTCAACCTGGTAGCCAGAAAGTGGGGGGGGGCCTGCTAGGACCACGAGAAGGGCAGCTCTTTGAAGAGTGAGCCTGGGCAAATAGAAAGAAGAGACCTCCTCTCTTGTTATTTATTTTTTGAGTAAATTCTTGTCTTCTGCTTCTCTTGTTTTTATCAAGTGAATCATTCTGGATGATGTTGATTAGCATGAAAATATTCCTCAGTGTAGAACTGAGTGGGTGTCTGTTCTCATACATTACCAGCATCAGGACTTCCTTGTGTCCCATCCTAACTCTGCCACTTCACCATTTTCTCACCATGGTCTTGGGCAATAGA